TTTTCAGTGGAATTACTAGGAGAGGGAAATAAAGGAATTATTACAGCAATGACTGCTTTTCTGAGGAAACCAGGCTTATGGAATCTATCTTTTCAAGGTTTAAGAAGAATGAAATCTTAGAAAATCATATACTCTTCGGTGCTTCATCAGATGTCTAAAATGCAAAGGTATCGGAGTGGAGCAGAGCCCAAGACTGCGCCACCCTCCTGCCTCACTCCCAGCCCTGCTCGAGCTCCCTCAGCATTCTTAAGGGGGCGCTGTGTCTAGCAGCATCTGAACAAAAATTCATCAGACTTAACAGAATAAAAAACAACAACAAATACTTAGTGAGTGCTAACTCTGTGCAAGGCATTATGGTAGAGCCTGTGCATGTTATGGAGAGGAAAAAACCCAATAGCTATTTTCGAGGCAAATCATATGGTATCTGACTAAACAAGACATAATTACTCGTAGCCAAACAGAACTGAAAGGTTAAGGACAAGCCAAAAGAGAAAAGAGTAAATCAAAGAAAACCATTTCATATAGACATAAAGATACACAGCACTGACACCAGAGGAACAAAATCCTTTCTTATCCACTTGGTTTTTTTTCTCTTTCTACTCTCACAAACGCAGAAAATAGTACACAGGCTGCAAGGTGGCAAATAAGTAACGGAAGTTCTAGCTACAGTTGCTTTAAGACATCTTTCAAAGGAAAACATTCAAGTGTTGCAAACGCAGTAAGAAAAGCCTTCCACTAAATGGGTAATCTTACTTGGGAAATAAATTCCAGTACATTATCAATGTGACCCGAAAGAGAATTATCAAAAAAATTTTCTAAAATATTTACATTAGGAATTTCAACCAACTCAACCACCAGTTGGGGCAAGTTTGACATCATTACAACCAGTCTGTGGTTTTGCCTACAGAAGCAGCCACTGAATACGAAACCAGCTGCAGGTTGCATTGTGTCATAAATGAATACAAAACCCCTCTCCTCAAGACATTCAGATAAAACACTCTCCAACTGTAGCTGAGATGCTTTGCAAGTAATGCCAACAGCTGGCCTGTAATTCACACACAATGGTTACTCAACACCATGAAACGGCATTCAAATGCTTACAGATCAAGGGTGTACTGCGGATCAAGGACTCCAACAAATTTCAGTGAGGTTTCTCCATTTCTGAGTCCCCTGGCCGACCACACTGCTCTCATCCTTCTTTCATAAGACTGCCGTGAGAGTTCAAGGACAACGGTCTATGCAAAGTTCCTCGCACAGATGGGCGAACATGGGCTCAGAGAGGTTAAGTAACTTGCCAAGAGCAGACAGCTGGCACAGGACAGAGTTGCAATTCACACTTAGGTGTTATTTCCTGTCAAAAGCCCTTGCAGTTCCTTTGCATACTCAACACATCCCACATGGCAGGCTCTGGAGAAAGCCCTTCACACGATCTCCCCATGCCATTCTCACAAGAACTTTCACACAGCGCACAGGATCAGTTCACAGTAAAGGAAATAAAACAGTTCCAAGATATATGTTCGTACGCTCAGTGTCAGAATGAAAGCGACTGCTGGTGCCCTCGGTAAAGCAGAGGAGAAGAGGGCCTGCGACGCTGGCACCGGTGTCGACCGGTATTTCCACAAAGGGCAATGAGGCTGCATGTACCAACATTACAAACGCTGGGGTGCATGGGTGGCCCAGTCGGTTAAGCAAGTCCGGCTCAGGTCATGACCTCACGGTTTGTGGGTTCAAGCCCCACATCGGGCTCTGCGCTGACAGCTCAGGGCCTGGAGCCTGGTTCGGATTCTGTGTCTCCCTCTCTCTCTGCCCCTCCCACGCTCTCTCTCAAAGATAAACATTAAAAAAATGAAAATTAGAAATGCCATATACCTTTAGCCAAGCAATCTCGTGTTTAGTACTTCCCCTACAAACATCCTCAACCATGTACAAAACGACCTAATAGCAGTAATATACACTGCAGCACATGTCTAAGGTCCACCAACAAGGAACTGGTTAAATCATCAATGGCTCATGTCTACAATGGAATCATAAAAATGAAAGGAACATCTTTATGAATAAAAAAAAATAATCTCCAAAATATTTTGGCTCAAGAAACAAACAAGGCAGAACACCTAAGACAGGGCGTCTCTGGAGAAACACACGAGAGATTTATAGAACATAAAGACTTGCAGGGGCAAAGAAACTGAGGGGACACACAATGGAGCCGGGATAGAGACTGAAGGACATGAGGCTGGATTCCTAAAGGTTCCCACTTCCAGCCCCTACACACACTAGGGGGGTCTCTATGGTCTAAAACAGACAGTAAGGGTAACTAAGTTTGAAAAGCTGCCATGTCTACGTGTGAGTGCACTTTTCAATCAGTGGTGATTGGGGGCCCTGAAAGGAGAGGTCCAGGGCTTCGAAGGACCCACAGACAGGCCGAGGGACTTGTCTGGCCTGCTGGAGTTTGACAGCATGTTTAACAGAGGTTGGTGGGAGGCCTGCTTTCGGTGAAGCCTGGTGGCTGAGATGTGGGGCGAGGGGGGATCATCCTCACCGTCTCACATCTCTCATCTACTGAAAAGAAGCCAGGAGTTATCCCTGACCACAGTGGCAACATTCTTCCACTGAGGCAGCTCCAACCACCATCTTACCATCAGTAAGTCTCTGCAGAGACTGATTCTTCCATCTGCTGTGGGCATAAAAAGTCCAGTTCTGCTGAGCCGATAAGCAAGGTACACAGGTGCTTTCACAACCCTGGGCATTTGCTCTTGATGTCCCATCTCCCGTCTCCTTGGCTATATCCAACTGCCACTCCTTTAAGAGGGAAGCCAACATTTCATGTTTTTTTAATGCAACAAATACTAACTGAGTGCCACCCAAGCACTGTGTCCTCTACCATCTCGGCTGCATCTTGTACCTACATATCATTATGGCACTGTCAACTGTCCACGCCTGCTTGTTTTCTCGTAACAACAGGAATTCTTGAGAACCCACGCAGAAACGTTCCTCATGATGCCCAACACACAAGAGACACGCAAAGTGCCTGCCTGCTAAGAAGAATCTGTGAATAAAGCCTATTTGCTGAGCTTAACTTACTCCTACTTGTTTTGCAACAACTGCCCTTTCTCGGCTTTCTTCCTCTTTAAAAGTCCTTCTAATCCACATACCAGATCCTGAGGCTGCTCTCCACAGACCTTTCTGGACAATGGATGCTGTGAAACAGGCCTGGCTGGGAGGGCAGCTGTGGATTTGCTCTCCATTTCCATCTTACCACAATAATGCCGCTGCACCACAGTGTTTGGCCACATCCAATTTGGCCAAGATCATGAGAAAAATGAATACTGAAGGAGTGAGGCGTATAGTATCATCTGTTGACCCTGCTTAGACTCAGTCTAAAATTCACAGTAAGTAAAATAATTGAAGAGAACATAAAGGATAAGCACACAATCTCCACAAACATCAAATGCAGCAGAAAACACGGGATAGCATTCACAAAATCTAAAGAATACACATAATCTCTTCTAATGCATGGATTCAAACTCCAATCTCATTCTAATGGGCTAGGGAGATAAAACTTATTTTCAAGAAAAAATTGTGCACAGAATAAACCTTTAAGTTTCCTCGTGATTCTCACTAAGGCTTCAATGTATTTTCTTATTGAAATAATCATACAAGCTCTTGGCAAAAAGCTGTGATACTGGTGTCAGAATAATGTAAGAAGTGAAACTATAATACAAAAATATTGTTTAAAGCAGATATATCGCCACTTATTTTTCTCATCTTGAAAAGAAGCTATGTTTCATTCAGCAGTAATTCTTCTCTCATTCTCTCAGAGAATCTGTACAAAACCAATATTTCAACTAAAATCAGATCTGAAGGATCTTTTATGAAAACGCATAATGCAGAAGACCCCAATTAAATTTCCAACAAAGCACTGCCATTTTGAGTAAACAAAGTCATCTCAGTAGGGTCACACGATTTGCAAAAACTGCAGCCCATAAATTAATTACTAGTGTGACATATGTCAAAACAAATTTTTAAAAGAATAGAATGCAGTTGTAACCTTGTGTTTTATCTGTTTGTATGCAAAACCAGTACTGTCAGGCATGTAAATATATTCATTTATTCAGCATCTCTCAGAAAAATAAAAAAGGTTCATTGCTCCCCCTGGTTTGCTGCACCCAGGTGAAAGCTCAGTAAATCACACGTGTTTAGTGAGTAAGAAAATAAGCACAGAATGAAAAGATAGTGCGGGTGATGTTTTTCAAAGACAAAAGTTATCGTCACACAAACTAATTTTGCAACATTTAGTTTTCCTTTAAAAGAAGTTTTTCAGAGATCTACATCAGCCACACCACACAACGTTAAAGGTTGTCATCTTGAGGAAATCATTTTTAAAAAACATGTAGCAGTGCTTGTATTTCATAAAGAAGATTGTAATCTATCGTAAAAAAACAGAACACAATCAAAAACTACGTGGCAATAAAATTAGGGATTTCAAACCATTTCAGAGTTTTCCTAACTAATGACAACATTTATTTAAATAAAAACATTTTTGTAAATGCAAACCTGTTATTGACCAAGGAGCTCCAAAGAGAAAAAAGGATACAAAGCACAGATATGCAGATTCCCCTGTGTTTTCTTTAGTAGAAATTTACATCCCAATCCCATCCACAATGGATATATAGACCAAATCATCATGTACACTTTAATTCTGTGTCTTCCGGTAATTAACTTGGTATCTTAACCTTAGTGGTTGTTTCTTACTATTTCAGCGAAAAACGGAAGTTCAGCCACCCTCGTGCCAATGAAGTCTTAGGGTGGGTGTCATTCTGACCAGTGGGACTGTTCTCTAACTCATTTGTTAGATCTAAGAACCAGGGTAAGGCTAAACAGTGTTTCAAAAAGTGATCAAAATACCCCCTTTTTATGGTTTCAACCAGTTTCTCTGAATGAATTTGCTTAACAAAAAGCACATCATTCTTTTGCACTTCAGTACCGGGAATTTCGTGTGTTACCTCTCTCAAAACCGTGCTTGTGTAGCCTCGATACAATCCTTGGATGCCCTGAAACAAACAAAAGGCCGAGAGCTCAGAAAGTTGGAAGAGCAGACAGTTCTGAACAATACTCTGAGTAAGGTGGAGTTTCTGAAGCCTGAGTTTTAAAGCTTGCACAATAACTACTCTCTGTAAGAGGTTAAAGGTTATAAACTGGACTCAAGTACATAAGGCTTGGGTCAGTTCCCTTTAAACTGGGAACATCTCTAAAATAATCAAACTGACTACTTTAGTTGCTTTCAACATTTCTGCTCCTGAAAATAGTACTTCAGATGATTTCAATAAAATACAATTCCAAATTCAAATGCACACAAAATGCTAATCATCCTTTCCTATAAAAACAGAATTGTATGTCATCAGAATGTCAGAAGTTTCAATCAGAAGATATCAGAAATTCATTCATAATCTCTCCACAGTGATAAATATCTCTGGACACATGATTCACAACAGGGTCCCTCTACTGGACTGATCTCATGATCCTCTGATCAAATACCCAGTTTTTCCTCACCTAAGTGACAAAAGAACCATAAAGAATAACTTTGCTAAAACCTAGGCCCAGCGAAAGGTCCATGTTACTGAATACTGTTTTAAAAGCGGGAGGAGGGGGCTTCTGGAAAAAGACAAAGAAAAGCAGCTCCATGGTCCCTAGTGACCTGGCTGGCAAGAATGTCCTCTGACCCACAGCAGACCATTAACAAGAAAAAAGGAATTAATTTATTTTAATGTTTATTTCTTTTTGAGAGAGAGAGAGAGCATGTGGTCAGGCGAGGGGCAGAGAGAGAGGGAGACAGGATCCGAAGCAGATCCCGCAACTTCAGTGCAGAGCCCAATGTGAGGCTCGAACCCACAAACCGTAAGATCATGACCTGAGCCACAGGTGGACACTTGACTGAGTCATCTGGGCACCCCAGGAATTTAATATAAACATAATGATGCAGGTCACTATGCCCATTTCTGTACTTCTCTCCCACAGGCCCTCAAATTCTATAGTAACATTTTAATATGGTATCTTTATTCACTTCACATTTTTATGATTTATTCCATATGTGATTCTGAAGCTACTACAGGACAATGAAAATGTAGGTAGGACATGCATATGGTAGTGGCACTCAGTATGTGTTGTTTAGAAATGTGGGGGGTAAATATTAACAATAATTTGAAAACAAAGGAAAGGCAAAGATAATCTTAGCATCAAAAGCTGCTGTGATTGAGCATTAAATTTATCTTTACAGTCTCTTCTAAGGCTCCTGGGATGAGAACCACAGTGTTCATATTAGCTACTATAAAATCTCTCTCAGGGTGCCTGGGTGGCTCAATCGGTTAAAGATCCGACTTCAGCTTAAGTCATGATCATGTGGTCCTTGAGTTCGAGCCCCACGTGGGGCTCTGTGCTGACAGCTTAGAGCCTGGAGCCTGTTTTGGATTTTGTGTCTCCGTCTCTCTACCCCTCCCCTACTCGCACTCTGTCTCTCTCTCTCTCTCAAAAATAAACATTAAAAAATAGTTTTTTATAAAATCTTTCTCAATAAAGAAACAGATGGAGTTTAAAAATCAAATCTTACCTCTTGATATAAGATGTTAGAGAAAATCTGAAATGTTCTCGAAGAAGCAGATACCTGTGTCCTCTGCTTAACCACTTCAGAAGGAACACGAATCAGACAGGCAACCTAAAATATATAATCTCATTAATTACATCCTAAAAAAAAAAAAAAGTAACTGATATGAAAATTGAAATTATTCTCATAAGCAAAACAATACAGTCAAAAAGGAATAATATAAAGAGTCACTGCAAGATGTCCAAAGGCATTTTTTTCAACCTAAAAACCTCAGACCCCCTTTTTTTTTTTTTTTACAAATAGTTTATTGTCAAATTAGTTTCCACATAACACTCAGTGCTCATCCCCACAAGTGCCCTCCTCTATGCCCATCCCTCCTCCCTCCCACATCCATCAGTCCTCGGTTTTTGTCAGCATTCAAGAGTCTCTCATAGTTTGCCTCTCCCCCTTTCCCCCACCATTTCCCCCCTTCTTCTCCCCCTTGTTCCTCCGTCAAGTTCCTCCTAATCCTCCTATACGTGCAAACATATGGTATTTGTCCTTCTCTGCCTGACTTATTTCGCTCAGCATAACACCCTCAAGGTCCATCCATGTTGCTACACATGGCCAGATTTCATTGTTTCTCATTGCCATGTAGTATTCCATTAAAAACCTCAGACCCTTAATGGACATGCATTGTTTTGTCAGCTCAGAACCTTATCTTCCTTGTGCTTAGAGATCCTCACACTTCCTGCCATCTGGTTCCATGCCCATCTCTCTAGAAGTCCCTCAATGGCAAGAAATATATGGACTTACTTTCTTCAAACAGGCTGAAAGAATGAGCCAAAAAGGCTTTTGCTTTACTGTAAATAATGCATACATCCACAGAAGCAAGACTGATCATCAGCTGGTTACACCTCATCTTCCATCTCACTCCCCATCCCAGCCTCAACTAGCTGCCGACCCCAGCACCCTAGACCCCAGCACCACAGCCATGATGCAGTACAGGAGAAACTGCAGAAAGCCTTGGGTCCTGCTCCAGCATTCATTCAAGTCGACATAGGTCCTGAACAGACCATACTCACGTCTGACCGGTCAACGACCAATACTCCAGAATTTTTCAGGTACTTTTTTCTTTGTACTTAACACTAGATTACCTATACAGAGAGTTACATAAAGACTTACAAAAACAAAGTGGGATTACAGGTAATGTTTCTCTTTTCTGCCTACCCACATGTCTAAATTCTCTACCATGAACAGTTATAATTACTTGATAGGTTTCATTAACATAATATAAAAGAGCAAAAATGTTATGGACCAAAGATTTTAATTGAGGGAGAAAACAAATGAAAGGGCTAACTTAAATTGTGCTTTTCAGTGCAATCCTACTTATTATTAGCCTTGACAAATACCAATTTTTAGAGATAATGACACACACACACAAATGGATTAAACACTTTATCACTAAGGCCTAAAACTGGGTATAAATCATGTTACTCTTGATACGTGTGCAAATTTTTAAATCCATACTTATAAACCAGGACAGAAAACAAAGTTCACTGAAACTTATATGAACCTAAAAGGATAGCTCCCAGCCTCTAAAACTCATTAAAGAAATGAAAATAAATAAACAAGGAAAGAGAAAAGAAAGAAAAAGGCTCACTAACTCCTTATATTTTTCAATTCAAGAGGTCAAGAGTGAAATATGACCCCAATATGTCAAGAAAATAGGAATGGTCCACTTTTCGGGTTGGCATAAATATTTATGGAACTTCATGCTTCATAACCCTTCATGTTCTTACATTACGTTTTCATTTCTTAAATATACAGAAGCAAAACAAAAACCTTGAAAAGGTTCCTAGATGAAAAGCAATCTCCCTAACTGAAGAGGTAGAAAGCACTCAGCACGGCTTCCTGACTTCTGTGGCGGGGCAATTTTGGCATGAGAGAGAGATCGCAAAGCAACGCCTCTATCTTCTCCAGTAACTCCAATGCCTTCAATTTGGTTTTCTATTAACTCTGATCTTTCTTAGAGCTGAATCTGAGCTACAACAGAGTATTTCACTGCACAAGAACAAAAACACGTTACAGTATTGTGATTCCACAAAAGGAGATAAAGATAATGTAATCCATGGGTCTCTTGGTAAATCCATTCTTCAGAGCATTTTTTCCTCATAAGTATGGGGTTCAGTATGAATCCATGACACAGGAATGGTGGCATTTTCATTATATCCAGGAGTGTCTTATATGTTAAGGGTCTATCAAAAAATAAAACTAACAAAATACAACAAAGAAAATTTATGTCCCCATCTTTTATCCACATTAAAATACTGGCTTCATTAGAATTAAACACGCCAAAAATAAAATAAACTTTAGATTAAAAATTGATTATAATTATAAAGCTACCAAGATTTTTTCCTTGACATTAAAAAAAACTTACCTGATATTTTTTTAACTTTGTTTTTGTAATGGAAAGCTGCAATGTCTTCTTTTAGTATTTATTAAACACCAAGATACAAAAACTACAGGTTTTAAGACTAAGGGTGTGAAAGGGGAAAATCTACTGTCAACTTCGACCTCCCATTTGGCAAAATAAAAGGAGAGAGAGAAGAGGAATCTTCGGTTCTTTCATGGCCACGGCCACGGCCCACAGCTCCACAGCCTATCAAGGGCTCACCTCTGTCCTATTACTCTTGAAATGCTCTTTGAGGTCACGGGGCATCACCGACAGTACTTTCCATTTACATTACATCCTTTCCCCAAATGTTTTCACATGGCTCACAATCACTTACCTGATTTTTATTTTTCTATAGGGAACTTAATGGCCTGTAAATGTGCGTCTGATATTAGAAGCCAAGAGTCAGCACATTAAATACACACCAGCCTGAGACAGAAGCTACTGAAGGTCAGAGCACTACTTGGCTTAGGAAGTTAGGATGAAACCCACAAGTTTTGGTTACTGTCTCCAGAATTATTTCCCATCAAAAATTTATTTTAGGGGCGCCTGGGTGGCTTAGTCGGTTAAGCGTCCGACTTTCGCTTAGGTCATGATCTCGCGGTTCATGGGTTCAAGCCCCGCGTCAGGCTCCGTGCTGACTGCCAGCTCAGAGCCTGGAGCCTGTTTCAGAGTCTGTAACTCCCTCTCTCTCTGACCCTCCCCTGCTCACACTGTCTCTCTCTCTCTCCTAGAAATAAATAAAACATTAAAAAAAATTTATTTTATTTACATGCACCTAATGAACTTAAAAGTTTCAAAGTTTAGTATCAGCTGATTCTTTGTGTTTAGACAGGCAAATCTATGTCTGTTCAACAGAAACCTAAATAAAGTGAATACAGCCAAAGTTTAATCATATTCACAGCAAGGGCTGCTGTGGACTTGGCGGAGTAAACTCCAATGTGGAGAATTAAGAGGGAGAAAAACCTCATGATGCTCTGCAAAATTGTGAAATGTGCCACTTTCTTACCTGTATTTTATTTCACATTCTTTGTGTAACTCTCAAAAATTCTTTCTGGAATGCAGGTTTCCAAATCTCACATATCTTTCTGAACCATCATTTAAAATAAAAAACCCTATAACTGTTAACAATTCATTTGTGTGTCAATTCTGCCATCTTCTGGTCACAAATGGAATCACAGCTGTTGATAAAAACTACCCTAACAGCAATCTCTAACTTCTAATTTACCATCCTTGGGATTTAAATTTTACCCACTGATATGCAGACACAAGTTCCTCATAGCTTTCTTACGTATTAGACTCTTTCCACTTTATATAAAGAGCCAACAGGCATTGGAAGAAAATTTTTAATTTAATTTAATCTTCTCATGCCTGACAAAATTACTGTTTGTGCTAATCCAGACTCCAGACAGAAGGTTAACAGTCTTCTCAACAAAAATTACATCATCGTTTAGGCTTTGTTTCTAAAGGCTGTTAACAGAATGTTACACAAGACTTAAGCTGTAAATGGCTTTTTCATTCTTGTTCCTTTCTGAAACAGAAATGAGCCATTATTTCCCAGGAGGTGACGAAAGCCCCATGGGCAGATATGTACACATCTACTCATAGAAAATCTGCAAATGGAAGAGACTGCAATTTAATGGTAACTATATTCGTTTCCTATTGCTGCTCTAACAAAGTACCACACACTTAATGGCTTAAAATAACACAAATTACTCTCTTAGAAATCTGGCGGTCAGAATTCCAAAATAAGTCTTACGGATTTGAATCAAATCAGCAGCCAGCTGGTATTCCTTCTGGAGGTTCTAAACATATACATCTCCTTGTTTTTAGAGGGCACTTGCATTCCGTGGTTTGTGGTCCCTTCCTCTCGCTTCAACACCAAGCACAGCATCATAAAACCTCTCTCCCATACTTCTGCATTCCACTGATGAGCACATTCGTAATTACTTTGGGCTCACCTAGATAATCCTGGAAAATCTTCTGTCCTCAAGATCCTTAACTTTATCTTATCTGCAAAGTCCTTATTTGCCATGTTAGGTAAGATGGTAACAGGTTTTAGGGACTAGGACATCTTTAAGGGGCCATTATCCTTCCTACCATAGTAACCAACCGCACATTTTAGAACTCCAACCTTTCCTTAAGAAGCCCACAGCTATCAGAGTTCATAATATTATCCAAGTAATACACTTCTCATCTCTACTTCTGCACCACTTCTTCCATTTTTAAAATATTACGTCAAAGTAAACAGTATACACAGAAGTATTCATCTAACTATTCATTGTACAATGCTGTTTGTCCACAGCAGCTGTGAAGCCTTGAACAAGTCACTGAAACTCTGTGAATTTCAATGTCTTCATCTTCTGAAATGATTCCCTCCAAAAAATACGTAATTCTGAAAACGTGCTACATAAAGCACTCTGTGTGCACTGGAAAATTGGACACTTTACAGATCAGATGCTAGGCTGAGCACTTTTAAGTGATGTATCACTTAATCCTTATAAGAACTGTGAGGTGGGTAGCATTAACCCTGATTTTCAAGGTAAGGAAAACCACAGCTCAGTGAGATCAGGTACATGGTCTACAGTCACACATAGCAAAAAGGCTGTGCTACAAGTCAGAGCTCCAAGCCTGATCTATGCTGCTGGACAGCTATGACCCATATACTCTCTCCTTA